AGGGAGTAGTTGGTCGGCACAAAGGAGGACTGCTCTGGAACGGAGGGTATCACGGTGGAGGATGCCGGCTGCGTCATCATTGAGGAGATGGTGCCGGACGGGATATCTGCAGAGCATGGTGGCACGTCAATTGCAGACGAGTTCTGACCGTGGGGCGGCGGTGAAGAGTCCGCAGAAGCCATAGCCGCAGTTGGAGTTTGAGGAGGCGGCGGAAATTTGAGGTGAGAGAAGGAGCCGAAAAAAAATTAAACCTAAGCTCTTGATACCATGTGAGAATTTGGGAAAAGGGTCCTCCATTAGGAGTCCTGACAGATATATTTATATAGAAGAGTTTGAGATATACAAGGAAACAAGTATCCTAAATATTCTATTACGAACAACAGAATGGAATGAGTTTGAGTGGTCTAAGAAGGCTATTCATGTAAGCGCTCACAAACAGACAAAATGGTAAGAAGTTTTGTACTATATTTTCCAAGCAATCACTGAATCAAATTATAATCACAATAACTTGAATTTAAGGTGGTACGCTAAGAGATTTCTCCATCCTGACATTGTTGCCTCTTATGAATATATATTTATCTGGGACGAAGACTTGGGAGTTGAGAATTTTAACGCTGAGGAGTAAGTCTGGTCACAAGTTTTCTTATCCTTGTTTAATTCCCACCCGCGTCTAATTTGACTTTGTCACCTGCTTTCAGATATATTAAACTTGTTAAAAACCACAGACTTGAAATTTCACAGCCGGCATTGGAATCTAGGAATGGTTCTGGAATAACTTGGCAGATGACAAGGAGAAAGCATGATAGTGAAGTCCACAAGTAAGAAAGAGGGAATATGAATAAGTGGCCTTAATAAGTGTTGGACAATTCTCAAACCCTAAAAGTCAGACCCAACCTTATTCTTAACACTGTTCTGTTTATAGTTTTGTTATTAAGGAGTCTTAAATTATTTTTTAATGCGTTCGCTTATAGCTTTTTTCGTCCAAATTTTTTCCATTAGAGAAGCAGAAGAAAAACCAGGCCGGTGTTCTAACCCTCACCTGCCTCCATGCGCAGCGTATGAACTGTTCTTTGCATTATGGCTCATGTTTTTAGTTTTAAATCGGTTGGTAAATGTAAAAAAACAGAAATTTACTAGACTATGATGTTAGATTTGTAGAGATAATGGCGCCTGTCTTCTCGCGCGAATCGTGGCGTTGTGTGTGGCATATGATACAGGTTAGTTGGATCCCAAATTTTGCTAATATGGTTAGATCAAGTAAAAAAGAAAAATAATGACCTTTCTTCCTGTTGTTATAGAATGATTTGGTTCATGGCTGGGGTCTTGATTTTGCCCTTCGAAAATGTGTCATGGTAAGTAGTTGTCCCATGTGGTCATCTTTAACATCTAAGGCCCTGTTTGGTGAATGTAATCAACCATGCAATGTGATGAGCATTTTCTTAATGTGTGTAGTTGGTCATTTTTTGGGTCATACTACTTACTAAATGCATAGCCTATTACTTTAAAGTTGTAATATGCTTCACAAAAAACTTACTCTATAAGGATTACACCCAAATTGGTCCTACCAAACATGGCATAAGTGTTGAATTGGCGAATTATCCAGTGGGGTAAAAATATTCATCCTCCTTCGCAGCCTTCTCATGAGAAGATTGGCATTGTTGACGCTCAACCTGTGGTTCATGGAAGGGTGCCTTCGCTTGGCAATGAGGTAAAAGCCTGAAGTTCTTATGAGCTCATATGAGGTTTTCTACTCCCTCCGTTCCTAAATAAACTTCCAACTTTCCTTTTTCGTCTGTTCCAATTAAAACTTCCATTTTCCCTTTTTGGTAAAGAATTTGTGGTTCACAATGTTTCTTACACATTTCTCTCTCTTCTGCATAATTCTCCACCACACAATATCCACTATCTTAAACTTTGTGCCAAACCCATTTGGAAGATAAAATGGGAACGGAGGTAGTAACATATATTGGACTTCCTTAATCTCTCTTGACTTTACTATACATTCTTTAGGGAATACCAGAGAATGGGAAGCCTAAGTGGAAAGGGGTAAGTAATTGCTTCACTAGTTCACTCCCACCCTCAAAAAAAAATGTAACCTATAGTGCAATGCATCCTCAACAAGGACAAAAGTTGGCATGCACACTCTCCTTCCCACTTCGATTTTATGTCACATTTAATTTCGGCCATCACCATGGGTCACAGGGTAATGCTGAGCCTGCTCACATCCGACCCCCCCTTACCTCACTGTAGGTGGGAGCCTTTGCGGCTAATGATGATGATTTAATTTCAGTCGCCAAAGGTTTTCAGCTTTGAGCAATAGTAATTTCATGCAAAATGATTCATAATATGGAAGTAATATACAAATGTTTTTCGTTAAGGTTACTACAATGAAAGTACACATTCTTTAACTTCTACTAAACATATACATCGTATTGTTTAAATTCATTTATCATAAGCTGTTTATTTTTTGCAACAATGGAATATTCACATGTGCAATCTCTTAAGCAGAAGGTCTGAGTATTAGACGGGATGATATGGTATTTTGTGATGGAATTTTGGGATTTGAGTGCAGGTGCACGAGAGATGCAATCGAGAGTGGGCAATGTTTGGGACTAGGCTACAAAATGCAGAGAAGGAATACTACAGCTCCATTGGAGTTCAGCCTTCCAACCTCACTAATCATTAGTAGCAAGGACTGAACATATATCAATGTACAAAGTTATTGTAACAGGCCTGGTCTTCTTGCTGTTTCTTTCTTCTGTTATACACTTACATATACTAGCATTGCTACATGCTTTCTTAAATAAACTTTTCTATTAGCCCTACAGTTTATGAGATTGACAAATGCAGCTGAATACAATGATGGTACAATTGCCTTCATTTATTTTCAAACCGAGTTTTGACATTTGAGTGTCATGTTTCATGTTCTTCATCAAGTTGTTTATTTTTCATTAAATAGTTAGGTGTAGTTGGTTAAGAGAATTTTTGGCTGTCAACATAAAACATGTTTCCTAGATCGCTTTTCCAAATAATAATAATTACATTAAATTGAAAAAAACTAAGATGTAATCATTGATAACTACTTTCGTATTTATTTGTACCCAAACTATAATTACCTATCCAAATTTCACTTCTATTAACTTTTCACTTTCCACTTTTATCTATGTGTGGGTAGAGAGCAATGTATTCTTACTTGGAAAGAATGGCAGGAAAAGTACTATGGGTGTTTTGATTTCCCAAAATATGACAACATTTACCATTTCCAAAAAAGTGACCCAAATTAAATGAGTGGCCTAAAATAAAAATGAACCAAATACTACGTCATGTTAGACACCTCTCGTTTCAAGCCTTCTTCTCCGCTCACCATAGATCTGCCGCCATTGCAGCTTCCAGCCACCGCCTCAATTCTCAGCCGTCCGCTGGTAGTTCATCTCACACCCCTTGAATTGGTCGGCACCATTTAATTTCTCAACCATCGACCATCGCCGCTCTTTTCTTCTTCCACTTCTCTTTTTCTATCAGCGATTAACGCCATTGGTGAATGATGATGTGCGCGGCTAGGATCGTAGAACGGCGTCAAGGAGCCGCCTCATTGACACGCCACCGGCCCACTGCTTACCTCTAGCTTCTCCTTCCTTTTCTGTTCAAGCGTCGCTCCTATGGCAACTGATAGACAACATGGGTTTGTCAGGGGGCACCGGGCAGGGGAGAGGATTTGGGGCTGGGATGGGGCAAGAAGGGGTCGAGCTAGAGAGGGCATAGGTTCGATCGGTGGTGATAAATGCACGTGGCGTTTGTCACGGATGGTTGGCAGCGACCGTAGTAACTGAAATGTGATCACTGGAGTGTGGTGGGGGTGACAACGGAAGCAGCAGAGTCACTATATGACAGTTACTATATTACACCAAAAATGTGAGTCACTAGAGAAGTAGACCACGAAGTCACTAGAAAACGGAGTCACTGAAAAACGAAGTCACTAGAGAAGGTTTGATAATGAAGTCATTGCGGCGGCAGCAACAGCGGTGATGACGATGGTGGTGGCAGCACTCATTAGGGTGGTTGGAGGCATTTATTAATTATTATTAAAATGGAATGTCAAAATAATAAATGTAGTATTAAATGAGGGCCAAATGATATGGTAAGTCATAGTTTTGAAAAACTTAAAAACAAGTCACATTTTTGTCAATTGTATATAAATTAGTAATATTCATAAAAAGGCCTTCTTACTTTTGGAAGGTCAGTATTTAAAAGAACAACTACCTCTCTGTTTTAACTCTTGAAAAATCAAATGTATCTTACAGACTTATTTGGAAACAGTACACATGATTCTTCGAAATAGGACCCTTGTGGTACTTTGATAGTTTGATAGGCAAATTATACCTCGGACACGTTATATCAATCCCGTTATTACGGTATATATCAATCCCGTGTTGATGGATAATGTAACTCACGTGTATGTAAAAATATGTAAAATTTAACTTGCTGAGAGCGTGAGACAAGTCCAAATGTAATTTGTACATAAGAAGATGTAACTTGCACACATGAAGATTAAATAGTTTCCTTTTGTTTTTAAATCTCAAAAATGTGAAATTTCATTGTACCATTGATTTACTTTTAATTTAAATAAAAAAAAACTTTACATGGAAAAATTAATCATCCAACCATTTATATAAATTTTGTAGATATATTTTCAATTTTTTTCTAAAATACTACTGCAACAAAATAAATGAATAAAAGCATGACTAAAATATCTATGAGCATACTTTTAAAGTCACGGCGATGTAAAATTTGAAGACAATTATAGACTTATAGTCAACAAAAATTACCAAGTCACATTGTGTTCATTATCTGTTTTGTGATAATATAAAGTAATATTTCTTTATTTTCCAGGAGGTGATCTCATACCCTTCATTTTACGTTTCTATAATTATTACAAAAGCAATTCCATAGAAAACGTTTTCTATAGCACCCCCCTGAATTTATTTTCTAGTGAGACTTACAAACTTTTAGGCAGAAACATGCAGTGCAGGAATGGTCATTCTTGTTCAGCATCATTTGCAGTTGAGTATGAATAAAGCAGACCCGTGTGCCTCTATGCTTATGGATAATGCTGCTCTAGATCCAAAGCTTTTTCCAGACCATAATTCTCTTCCCGAACATGTTTGGTTGCTTTCACTTCTTCCTGGAAGTGCTTTTGCTATATCTCTTGATTTTGTTGAAATTACTGATGTTACATTATTCAGATTGAAGAAAGCTAGGTAGATTTCTCCTGAACAAGGAAAATCATACGTTGTATTATACACTTTTGCATATGATTATAATCACGAGTCTAGTGTTTAAGTCGGAACTTTATCTTAAATCACATTATAAACGAGGAACGTAACTCAATTTGACTGAGATTAAAAAACATACTGATTTCAAGATCGGGTTGTTTCAATAAACAACGTAACCACCTTATGATGTTCTGAGGCGTATTCAATCATCGTACGCCGGCCAAAATAAAGACACATACTAACATATAAGACCTTGTGCTACTTCTATTCGATTGTGACTCATACTCGAATTCATATATGCTGTTGAGCTCATGGGCGTAGCTAGGGGGGTCAATCTAGGCCCCAAAGTTCGACTTTAATTAAATTATTATGGTAAAAAGTTGAGTAAAACATTTTCCAAAAAAAAATCTTTGTACCAAAATGGGTTGCATTTTATCGCTGCCTACGCACTTGTTGAGCTAGTTTAAGATTACAAAATGGGTTCACAAAACAAACCTTGCCTTCCACTAGCAATCCAAGAACGACTTCCTACGGGTATAGCTGTATGGGAAAAAAATAGCGCTATGTAAAAAAAAAATACTGCATATTGGTTAAGTAAGAAGACTGCATAATAGCTGGATCAGTAGGTCTCACCTTTGACAGAAACAAATGAAGCACATAGACCAGAATATTCGCTTACAAGGGTCCCGTTGTGTTTCAATTCCCACATCTGTTTATAGTCAGACAGTTCATATATCCATCCGTCCATCACTATAATAGTTATATCAACTCCCCATTGTATTGTACTACCTCCGTCCCAGAAAAAGCTTTTCGTCCACTATTCCCCGGTTACCGTAAAAGTCTTCTTAATCTTTTAATTTATATATATTCAACATTTATCAATTTGAGTTTATTTGCGGCTTTACAAAACTTTTAATTGTAGTTTCTGAATATGAACATTTTATTCACCAAAAATAATTTTTTTACAAACAAAGATCAGTTAACTTTATGGTCAGTCAAACATCGTAAACCGTGTGAGAACCTTTATACGGAGGACGGAGGGAGTAATATTTATACTTTATAGTAATATAACCAAATGAAGATCAGATAATTATAATCACATTAAAAAAACTGATCCATCCGTGATCCGTCCCATATTGGTATGCCAAGTTTGACACGTACGAGAAGAATAAAAAACAAGGAAGTGAAAATTAGGTGATTAAGATTTTTGTGGTGGGAGAAAAAGATAAACCACAAAACTACTATGTATTTCTTTGAAGGAAAAGTGAGAACTTTATTTGGGAAAGACATATTAGGAAATTTGACAATCATTCTAGGGATGAGTATAAAAAGAGCAGTGACATGACATTTTAATTATAAAAGAAATACTAAATAAAACATACACTACATTTATTTATTTATTATAATGGTGATGAGGATGCATAAATTAATCATGCATCCGAAAATTTAAATAAATTAAATAGACAAATAAGGTATGCACCTGGCTGGCTTCCCACCTACAGTCTGAGAATGAACCTCTGCTAACCTCTCCTGAACTAAGCTTCCGATTATGAGCTGCGGTGAGGCAAGACTCCGTAGTCTCTCTTTCCAGCAAATGCGGTTTTTCATGAATCTGTTCCTCGTTTCTCATTTCCTGATGTCTGTGTCAATATAGAAATAAAGAGATGCACATAGAGAAAGAAACCGGGTGAAGGAAAAAGTGTGATTCAGAGCTTACTGTTCAAATAATGGCATTTTTTTGTAGAGACAAAATGATTCTTTCTGCTGTTCGGATGTGTTTCCTTTCCAACAAATTTGATCATCAAGGTGTTTTTTAGACCAACCTTTTGACCTTCCATCTTTGCAGCTTTTCAGTGCCAAAACTTGGGCCTCAGAGTTATCCATATAGTGTGAGCCAGATATGTATGGAAACTGCATTGAGATTTTGGGGTATGTTTGAGTCCAGATAAAGGTTATGGGTACAGAAAAGAAATGCTAACGACAGTTGTTTCTCTTATGTTCTTAGTTTAACTTGGAAAATGTGAAGGAAATATCATTGTTTGAGAATTTTAGCTTATCTCCCCCCAGTATTTTCCAGGCCTCAATGGGATCCTTAGGTCAATGTGTCAGATATGTTAAGTCTCAAATTTATGACAATTAAGTGAAGGAAATAAATTTTCACTTGCCTCTTTACCTCTTTATTGTTTGAGCTAAACCAGTTTATTTCCAGTAAAGTAGGATTAGTAATGAGAGCAAATGTCTGGGTGCTAATCCTTCTCATGTCGCCTCCGTACATGATAGGAGACTTAGCCATGGACCACAATGTAATCTGCAAAATATGAAAAATATCTGAAGTTGTATAAAAAACCATTTTGTGTTATGGAAATATGGGATCCGTCTAAACTAAAAGTTTAAGCTTATACACAGGCTAAACATTTATTAGTCATAATATTATATCTAAATTTATAAGAATCATACGTACCTGTGTCTTTTGTTCAGTCTGAGTTAGATTGCTGTGCCGGTATGGACCTTCATTTGATCCTATGGTACATTCTCATATTAATTAGTTTTGCCACAAAAGAAAAAAAAGTGCATCTTTTACCTGTTAAATGTGAATATCAGGACTTTTTAGCAGTCAGTCAACGCGACAACGAAGTGCACATATTTGCAACTTTTGATAAGTAACTTAAGACTTCGAGCTTGCATGTTTGGATTAAATATTTGTATTTATTTGATAAGAAATTTATCCATTGACATAATTCGGAATTCAGCAGAAACCAAACTTGACATGAAAAAGCAGAATTACGATAGAAATTCCATGGAGAATTATACAACGTTGAAACTGCTATTTAGAAGGTTTATGATCCTCACCCGGATATGTGAGCCAACCAAAAGGTAACATATCTAAGTCAGGCCATGACTTCCCTTGCAGGCCCTTAGTTCCTATCAAATTAGTTGCTGCCAAGTCCCTAAGGCACACATACAATATGAGTAAGTAAGATGTGCTAAAAAAGCCGATAACATTTTATATACACGCAAATTAACGGGTGCTCTACTAGCTTATTTGATTGCGGATTTCTGAGAGGGAGTGGTATATGATTGATTTTTATTTGTTAATATTACACATGAATGAACAATATGATGCTTCATCTTTACTTCATTCTCAACCATTTAAATGCAGAAGTACTTTAAAAAGGAAAATCACTGCTTAACTCTGAAATCGCGCAACAAAACAAGTTCTAAAGGCACCTTTGCTCACATGGCAAATGAGTATAACACAATTGAACAAATAACACATATGGGATTTAGGTTCCAAAACCTTGCAACATCAAAGTGTGAAGCAACATCTGGCCATGTATCCCAGTCATCACCGGTAACCCTATACATGTTGACAAGACTACTAACCTCCTTTGCCATTTCCGGTGTCACGTCAACTCCGGGAGACAGAGAGTATGTTATGGAACGATTAAGATCCTTCAATACCTGTAATATCTCAAATCCAGAGTTTATCTTCACTTCAATGTTTATATAACATAATACGTGACCTTGAAAATCGAAATAATTATTGTAAAAATTCCCTCCTGGACACTATACATTCCTTGACCATAATTGTTTTGTTCTGGATTAAGGCATGCCTAACTTCACTTAGCTTGTTTGGATGGCAAGTTTTGGAGTAGTTTGAAACTTTAGGGAGTGTAGTCTTTAACTTGGTAAATAGAATGTTTATAAATACAATAAATAAAAGGTGATCAAATTTTTTATAATCACATATTATGCTAACTTTTCAATTTTAACAATATCTCAAACGAAGCCATATATTTCACCTAATCCCTGCCAAGCCTAGTGACTTTTACAACATTGGTTGCCCTTTACCTACCTCTGAAACAACGGTTATCTCATCCAAGTCCAAATCAGTGCCAAAAACACAGTCATGTTTCACTGCAAAGAAAACACACACACACTGCAAAGTTACCGCGAGTGAAGCAATTCCTCTTCTTGCAAAAGTAAAACTATTAAATATCAACAGATTGCCTCACCAAAATCAACACCCCAATCAGCATACTGTTGATAGAGTGACCTGAGAAAAGCTCTTCCAGCTCCAGATTTAGTATTCACACTCATGAAGCCATTATTCATCCACGCACATGCCCTCTCCTTTATTCCTATATCACTTGCTTTCCACTCCCTTCCACCTTCTTCATATGTTTTCCCCTTTTGAATCAATCCAATAGAAATGAATTACACAAAAGCCGCAAATTTAATAAGACAATAAGAGCAGTAACGTTTATAGCATACTAAGTGTCCATTCAGCAGCCATGTTTTCGGCAAATCAACCTCTTAAGCAATATGTTTTACTACGTTTGGCTATTTGGCTACACATGCTGAATTCGGTAATAATGAAAACACAAAAAAGCAGGACTTTAGTTGCTTTATAGCCAGAAGTTGTGGAGATGATCATACTAATCTTTCTTCTAGATTGTTTTATTAATTTTATCAATAAAATATGAAATAATGAAAAATATAATACTAGAATGGAAATATTGGAGAAATTCTGATTTTAAACACACAGTGACTATAGTGGTAATTCTTATGAAGTGGCAGTCAGTTCCATGCAATTCTCGACGCAATTTTCATCATTGGTCAACCGGAAACAGTCTCTCTGTGCTTTAGCACCGAGGTAAGGCTGTGTACATTCAACCCTCCCTTACCCCACCGTAGGTGGGAGAGCCTTTGCGGCACTGGGGTAATGTTGCTGTTTTTGTGAGTATAGTGGTACTTTCGAAGTGACTGTGGTTGACCATGGTGATGTTCTCTTTTACACTGCAGTGATCAAGTGGTACTTTTTGCAGTGATTGTAGTGACCATGGTGATGTACTCTTTTACACTGCAGTGATCATGGTGGCATTTTTGGAGCGACTGAGTAACATAGTTTTGTCCATGATTCCATCTTCGAGCACTTTGAGCCAAACTGACCATTTACCCAACAGAATCAAAGAACTATTCTGGTAATGAGTATTAAGAAGCAATACCATCTGGATATCCAAGATTGGGGTACTACTGTTGACTGCTTGGGTACTAACACCTCTCATGACATGGATCCCGAATTTCAAACCCAAGCTATGAACCTTAGCAGCAACTTCCGTAAATCCTCTACCACCAGCGGATGAAGGCCATCTACTTGGGTCTGGTTGCATCCTTCCCCACTCATCAATTACATCAAATCCAAGAGAATTAGTGTACGCACCGTCCACTTTCTTTCTATACCACAGATAGTCCACCACAACATACTGCAAATAAGGTGCACAAATAAGTTGAGATTAAAAAAATCCAAATAAGTACATTATGTAGAAGAACAAAATTAGCACTTTTTTCATTAAGAAAAGTGCTTTAAACTTTATAAAAGAAAAAATAAACAATTCCAATCCAGTTAAATCATTTTTACTTCAACATAAGCAGCAACATATCGCCTTCGAAGAATTGAGCATGACCAATATCAAACACTCATGGCTACTCACTGTCTCCAAAGTATTGAATTCTAATTCAGACATTAATACTTTAGAATCAAAATGAGAATCATTAGTTTGGTAAACACCCTGTCAGTAAGTGGAGGAGTATATTAATCTTCTTGATACCTCATAGCCATTGGGCTTTAACCGCTGAGCGACAAGTTCTGCATTCTGAAGGAATTGCTTCTCGGTGATGACCCAAGAAAATGAGTCATAGGAATTCCAACCTCTTGGGGGTAATTTAGCAAGTTCAGTTTCATCATGGAGCCTAACTTCTGAATTTGCCCTGAAATGATTCCCAAAAGAATCAACTTTACAAAACTTGGCAATATACCAAATCTTATTATACAAATCATTTTGAGCAAATAATATCAAAATATCAGATAAAGCAGATAACGATATATATTAAGTTCCACAGAGCCAGTCTCCTAGAAATTATGCAAAGCATAGCATATATCAGTAAATTTTATTTCATTTTGGGATCAGAGTTATAACAGAATTGGAGTTCGCACCCCACTTTTTCATCCAAATTTAACATCTGTACACTAAATTTGAAATTGTGTACCCCATTTTTCTTCTGAATTGGAGTCTACACCACATCATTAACATGTTGTTCTATGTGTGGGTGTGACATTATTAACTATTTTAGAAATGAGATGCAAACTCAATTGGATGCACAATCACGTGCAAACTCCAATTGCCCCAAGTTTTAATTATAAAAAACAACAAAGTGAATTAGAAATTTCTTGCTCAATCACACCATTTGATGTCAATCTAAGCGAATATGATTCACAATGTGGCTATGCATATGAACACCCGCAAGCAATTCATAATTAGTGTGAACCCAATCAACAAGCTACTGCAACCCAAACTTAAAATAAACAACAAAATGCATTCCCTATGATAAAAAGATAAAAACAAAAACTCGAGCTTTCTACCAAATTCAAGAAAAAAAGAAAAAAATAAAGAAGAGGATGACCCAAATGACAAAATAACAATACAAAAAAATGGAAAAAAGAAATACAAAGCTAGTAATACTGTTGCATTATTATGACCCCTATACTCAAACAAAACAGAAGGTGTCACTGTCCAGACCTCTGGAAATCAGTTAACATCAACAATAACAGTTTTATAAGCTGGAGAGTACCCATCAAGCTGAGAAAGACTAAAGAGGAAGAAGAAGAAACCGAGGGAAATCAAAACGAGATCTTGCATGGACACTTAGTAGAATGAAGGATTAGTGGCGAGAATATCTGAATTGAAGAATACTCCGTATTATATTACGGAGGACAATTTTGTTTATCAGAAGTGTCAGCGTGGTAAGATATCAGAAGCATCAGAAGTGTCAACTATAGAATTCCATTTTTTTTTAATGGAAATCCCACTGTCTAGGCTGCGTGGTAAGATTAATTTCTTTTACTGGAAAGATAAGCTAAGCTATCGGTTGTCGGTTGTTTCAGCGTTTGGTAGGTAGCTTTTTGTTGTGCTTATATCGTGGAACCGGTGTATGTGAGCACCGTGTACCATTTGTTATTTTTTATTTCTTCTTTTTTTAAAATTGTTAATAATTTTTTTATTTTTGATACGATTTTTATAAAATTTATATCAAATTTTTTTATTTTTCATGATCTTTCAAATGAGACCAATATTGCCTATGTAATTTTAATTTTTTACATTCATACATTTTTTTGTAATACTCCGTATATTTTTATATGCATACACTTTTTCTATAATATATTTTTTATCACTTTTATATGTTTTTATAGGTTTTTAAGATATTGAGTTTGTTTATTTTGCTTCTAGCTTGGAGTTACATTTGATAATATACGAAGTTACATCATCTTATACTCCAGTTACAAGTTATTATGTGTGAGTTACATTTTATTATGTGTGAGTTACATCTTGTTATACACGAGTTACATACTTTTATGCGCGAGTTACATGCAATTATGTGTGAGTTACATCTTGTTATGTGTGAGTTACATCTTGTTATCAGGACCAGTCCCGAGAAAACGGAGGCCCCGTGCAACAATAAAATTTGGGCCTTTTTTCAAGTTTAAACGCAAGCAAATTGTCTTACAATACAAGTTACTAATAAACGTAATAATTAAAATGAAAAAAGTCATTAATAACTTAGATGTTTATTAATGAAAACATAATTATTACCAATTATTGAAATTCTCCTATAATCCTGTACATGTTTATAAATTTTAAATTAATATTCAATTTAAAATTAGGGTGAAAGCATGAATGACTATACTAGTGTATAATTATAATTTATCAACCTCAAGTTACCAATTTATCAACCTGAAGTTATCAATTTTAATTGCTAAACACATTTACAAAATTACACATTTATTATCAATTCAAATAATGATTTACTTTAAATGCAAAAAATCAACAAATAACAACAACACAACAATTCAACAAACAGTAAATCTGAAAATAAACAAATTACAAGATTTCAACAAACAATTCATCAATTTAAATATTCAATAAATCGAAAGTTCACAAGAATTAGCAAATTAGCAACTAAATGAATAAAAGAATTAGCAAATTAGCAACTGACCGGAAGGAGGGCATCTGAGGGAGGCCGGAGGGCGGCGGAGGCGGTCGGCTGCGGGCTGCTGCGGAGTGAGGTGTGCGTTCAGCGTTCGAGTCGTAGAGAGCAGGAGAGGGCCGAGGGCCGAGGGCCGAGGGGATGTCGGACTGCGCAGGGCCGGCAGGGGGATTGGGGCCGTCGGTTGTGGAGAGGCACCGGCGGTGTGCGTTAGAGGCTGGAGTCGTCGCCTCGTCGGTTGTGGTCCTGTGGAGAGGCGGCGTCGCTTTGTCGTGAAGAGCAGCGAGCAGCCGAGCAGGAGAAGGGGGGATTTGCCGATTTGAGGCTGGGGGAATTGATTTGGGCTAAAAACTTATGGGCTGGGGGTAATACTATTTTTTTTGGGGGCCTCCAAAATACCGGGCCCTGTGCGGTTGGGCTGGGCAGACAGGCCCAGGGCCGGCCCTGCTTGTTATACACGAGTTACATACTTTTATGCGCGAGTTACATGTAATTATGTGTGAGTTATATCTAATTATTTGTGATTTTTTACTTATCTTTATCTTGAACTTATTCAATTATAACTGGATTAATTTTTTTCTTTGCCAATTTAATACACAATTTTATTAATCCACATAAAATAAGTGTATTGTATTTCATATTCATACACTATTTTTCAAATGATAAAAATGAAAGATATAGTAGGGGTTTATTTCGTGGTGTAACTCACATACATTAAGATGTAACTCGCGTACAATAAGATGTAACTCGCGTAGAAGAAGATGTAACTTCATGATATATTATCAAATGTAACTTCAAAATAATTTGTTAAAATTACATAAGCAATATTGGTGTCATTTGATAGCTCATGAAAAATAAAAAAAAAAATTGATATAAAATTTATAAAAATCGGATATCAAATAAAAAAGTTATTACAATTTCTAACAATAAAAGAAATAGAAAATATGTATAAACTGCGTCGTTTTGCAACCGGGCGCACCATCCTCATGGTGTGCCGGTTGCAGGGTATAAACTGCGAGCTTTTTTTTATAATCGAGGGGTCTGTTCTTGAGCTCCCTAATTCTGGAGTCTATTTATCACCTTCAAAGCCTCTAGATAGTCAAATCCGAATATTATCACGGTCAGTCTTCGTCAGTACTGGTACCACAGGATGAATCCAGCAGGATTTCCTTTCAACTGAATCCAGAAGCGTCCTCCTACTTTGAAAGGCTTCCTTTCAACTGAGTTCAGAAGGGTCCTCCCACCATGTGAACTCGTGATCTGAATTTCCATCTCCTCCCTTCTAAGTCGTTGTGCAACTCCGTGAAGGTAAGATGAATCATTGAGAGTAAGACATCCCTCCTCTCCCCTAAATGTGCCTAGCGGGATTCGAACCCGAGCTTAGTAGGTAGCTTCTTTAAATGATGAACTGTGAGTTGTGGAAACAGTTCGTATACGGTGCAACCGGCACACCTTAAGCATCATCCTCCACTCCAAAAACACTGTAGTTTTGCACAATTTAAAAAAAAAATCGCTTGAACAGTACACGTGTGAACAGTACCATGTATACAGTAGTTGTTTTTTCTTTTTGTCCCAGTAACATGAATGATGTAACTCGCGTATAACGATATGTAACTCGCGTTATTGATCGATGTAACTCAAGTCCGTTTGAAATGTAACTTGTCAAATACTCCGTACATAGTATAAGAAATAAAATATTGATTTCAATGTAAACAATGAAAAATTGATTCTAATACTCCGTAGCTTAATTACTTTTTTATAAATGGTGAATATGTTTTGTTTTTAGGGAAAAGTACGAAAAAGATACTTGTGGTTGGACCCGTTTTCAGATATGGTCATGTGTTTCATTCTTTATCAAAGTGGTTCATGTGTTTAAATTATGTTGTCACAAGAGGGTCACACCGTTAAAAACGTCTGAGAAAGACGGTTAAAAATAACCCTGATTTTAAAAAGTGCTCGAAAAATTAAAAGAAAAATACCGGAAGATGCGCTTCAATAAGACGACCGCTAGGCCCTCTTTCTTTTTTGTTTTCATCCACCCCTGTCACCGGAAAGTCCACCGGAAAAGTGATATTAGCGATATCATTTTTCAAAAATAATTCAAACAAATCCGAAAAATCCAAAGGCGAATGTGGTTTGGAGGTCATCATGACGAGACGCACCTTTCACTATGTTTCTTTTAATTTTCCAGGCACTTTTGAAAATTGGAATTATTTTTAACCGTCTTTCTTAGACGTTTTTAACGACGTGACCCTTTTGTGATAACGGAATTCAAACACATGAACCACTTTGATAAAGAATTAAACACATGACCCTATCTGAAAACATGCTCAAGCACAAATACTTTCTCTATACTTTTCCCTTGTTTTTATATCAGGGCAATAAAAATGATATAGCTGGAGTTTATTTCGTGGTGTAACTCGCATACATTAAGATGTAACTCGTGTACATTAAGATGTAACTCGCGTACATTAAGATGTAACTTGCGCATAAGAAGATGTAATTGCATGATATATTATCAAATGTAACTTCAAGAACCAAAATAAACAAACTCAATTTCATTAAAACCTCTAAAAAATTATAAATTCAGTAGTAATTTCAATTGAAGAAAAAGGTAAAAGAATTTGCTTTCAATTTTAAAAGGTTTTTGTTTAAATCCTCCTCATACAACAGATTAAAAGGGTTATGCTTTAGTTTTAAAGTATATTTAGTTAGTTAAGTCTGAAAAGAATTTTGAAAAAAGATTGAAGGTTGGTGATGCTGAACAGAAAGATAGAGGAATTTGGAGAGGTTATCTTATGCGTTATTAGTTTTATAAGGGTTAGAAGTAGTCGGTGTTGAACAGAGATTACAAAGCTTTTGTAAAAAGGATGAAGTGCCTTCGGTCGGTGCTGCGGCGCAAAAGGATGTGTTTTTTTCTTGTATTTAACTGATAAAGTGATGCCGTTTTGGGATCGGCACTCCTTTCTCGCGCACAAATATAGTCTATCCACTAGCATGAGTTGAATTATAGTGAGTTATACACTCTAGGATTAGGGTATTTGGGGTCTTTGAAGCCCGTGATTCAACCTTTTCAACATTTATTTTATGAGTTAATTACCTAAATAGGATAAAAAAGTGGTTCAAATGCACAAATAGCACTACATCTTTTAAATTCTTCCAATAGGACTATTTATGTGTGCTTGGACAAATATTTTTCTTGTAGCTTTTAAAATGTCTTACTTAATAATAAAATCATTAAAAAATAACAAAAATCGTAAAAAATGCAGAAAAATAATTAAAAAATCTATAAAATACTTAAAACATAAAAAATTAAATTTTTATAAAAAAATTTAAAAAAATAAAAAAAAGTAAAAAACGCCACACCCCTGTCACCCCAGCACCACCAGCTCCCATCTTCGGAAGGAAATCTACCAACATTTTTAGTAATGTCATAATAATGGAAGATTCAATGAGAATTTTGGCATTATGAAGAGTAATAATGTCATTTTCTTGGCATTTTCGAAAAAAGTGGCATTTTTTACAAACAAATGACAGAATTTTCACTGACCAAAGGTGGTGGTGCTGGGAGGAGATTGGAAAGGTATCCATATTTTTAAAAACTTTTTAATGATATTTTACTTTTTTTTTTAATTTTTTTAAAAAAATCAAAAACATTTTTTTTTATTTTTCTATTTTATAAATATTTAATTATTTTAATATTATTTTATTATTATTTTTTCTACGATTTGTTAATATTATTTATGATTTTTTAATATTTTTATGATTTTTTTAAGATTTTTGTATGAATTAAAACATTTCCCTTGAATTAATACCCTTAGGGGTATTTAGGGTAGAACTCAATGTCTATTCTCCTTAAAATGTAGTAGTCCTATTTGTGCATTTTATGG